ATATTCCTTTCCAGGTTCGGGGGTCGATCATGTTGTGATAACCACTATCAGAGGCGAAGGAACAGGAATACGATCATGTGAGCGACGAGGAGGAGCAGGAAAAGGAAGAGGAGGAAAACAAGGAGGAAGAGGAAGAGGAGGAGAAGCGTGCCATCATCTGTGGTAGTCTGTACCCACGTCTAGCGGCCTGCGCCACCTTGCCTTGATAATCTGCCGCGCCACCCTGCATCCTCGCAAACACTCAGGGGAGAGAACCTTATCGGATACAGAACAAGACAATCTTGTGGAGCAGGGGTAACACGATGCGAGTTGTTTGTTCCAAAGCGGCTCGGATGAAATCCTGTACGCATTGCGGTCCCAGGCAACAGCAATCGCACCGCTTATGCGCAACGCTATCGTGACTGTTATGTATGGAGCGCTGTAGCGGATAACCTTTTTCCCGGAAAGGGCGTATGCCCAGGGTTCTCTTTTAGTATTGTTACCCCTGGTTTCGACTTGAAGGAGGCCGGCGGAATTATTTTGCGATCTATTGCGAGTTGGAAGGAGGCCGGCGGAATTATGTTTGAGGATGTCTCGAGCGAAACGCGTGTGTTTCAGAATTTGTTGAGGATGTCTCGAGCGAAACGCTGGTTTTGCAGAGTTGGGGACGTCTCGAGCGAAACGCTTATTGTTCAGAAATGTTTGAGGATGTCTCGAGCGGAACGCTGGTTTTGCAGAGTTGGGGTATCTAACATGGCGTCGGGCCCAACGCCGAATTATGAGGAAACGCACGGGGGGCTGAAAAGCGCTACCCGAACACATGTCCCGGTACAGATCAGTGATGGTTTCTTGCTCTGAACAGGGGGTTGCGCTTTGGGGGCCTCTCCAGGGAAGACGTTGCGAGGATGTCTCGAGCGGAAGCGCGAATTCAGCGTATCCAAGTCACGCATGGGGGTACCTAACATGGCTGTCCCGAGCTGGGACCACGTGTTTTTCATACTCAGGCCACCCATGGAGATCTATAACATGATTGTCCCGAGCTGGAACCACGTGTTTTTCATGTCCAGGCCACCCAGGGGGTATCTAACATGGCTGTCCCGAGCTGGCACCGTGCTTTTACGTGTCCAGGCCACCAACACGACGGTTGTCCCCAGCACGTTCTGTAGCGCGTCCCCTTGGCACGTCCCGCGGTGCGTCCCCGTGGTACGTCCCCTGGCACGTCGCCTGGCGCGTCCCTTGGAACGTTCCGCGGCGCGTCTTCCTAGCATGCCCCCTGTGAATCAGCTCTGGGGCAGCTACTATGTGCTCAGGCAGCTCGAGCTAAGATCCAGATCAGTTCGGTTAGGACTCGGATGCAAAGGAGGACTCGATCCACAAAGCTATAGAGGACAATCGCGGCATGGCACATCGCAGTTCAGTGCGGCTCAGCACAGTCCGCGGCACGGTACATCAAGATCGATACACTAAGCATTGCATTTGCCCGTCGCCCAATCAGGTGTCTTTGGAACGTTGCCATGTTTTACATTTCTGTATTCCTTTCCAGGTTCGTGGGTCGATCATGTTCCCGGAAATGGCAGAGGCGCAGGGTCCCTTTTTAGCGTGGTATTTTGTCCCCGGTGCCAAATTCGAAGAGGGCCGGCGGATTATTTCCTTGATAAGTAATGAGGTCGAAGAGGGCCAGCGGATTAACATTTGAGGATGTCCCGAGCGACGCGCTGGTTTTTGACACGCGGTGAAGTAGGCATTTTCGTTTGTTGCAGATGTCTCGAGCGAAACGTCTGTTTTGTGCTATAGATCGTCCTGTCCTGGGGATCAGAATTCAGAGGATGTCTCAGGTGAAATGCTCAATTTCACGTGTCCAAGTAATGAGGATGTCTCGATCGAGACGCTTGATTTCACGCCTCCAGGTTGCCCAGGCAGATGTCTAGCATGATGGTTTGTTGAGGATGTCTCGAGCGAGACGCTTGTTTTCACGCGTCCAGGTCCAGGCAGATGTTTAGCATGAGGATGTGTTAAGGATGTCCCTCGAGTGACGCTTGCTTTCACGTGTCCAGGTCGCCCAGGCGGATGTCTAGCATGAGTATGTGTTGAGGATGTATTGAGCGAAACGCATGTTTTCACGTGCCCAGGTCGCCAAGGCGAATGTCTAGCATGAGGATGTATCGAGGATGTCTCTCTCTCTCTCTCTCTTTCTCTCGCTCTCTCTAGAGAGAGGGAGAGAGAGAGAGAGAGAGAGAGAGAGAGAGACGCTTGTTGTCACGTGTCCGGGTCGCCCAGGCGGATGCGTAGCATAAGGATGTGTTGAGAAGGTCTCGAGCGAAGTCCAGGTCGCCCAGGCAGATGTCTAATATGAGGATGTGTTGAGGATGCCTCGAGCGAGATTCGTTTTTTCACGTGTTCAGGTCGCCCAGACGGATGGCTAGCATGAGGATGTGTTGAGGGCGGGTTGCGCGAAGCGCTTATTTTCACGTGCCCGGGTCGCCCAGGTGGATGTCTAGCATGAAGATGTTCGGAGGATGTCTCGAGCGAACCGCTCGTGTTCGCATGTCCAGGTCACCCAGGCGAATATCTAGCATGATGATATGTTGAGGATATGTTGAGCGAAACATTTGGTTTCACATGTCCAGGCCGCTCGGGCAGATATATCCCACGAAGAGGTGTTGAGAACGCCTTAAACGAGACGCTTGGTTTCACGTGTCCAGGTCGCCCAGGCGGATGTCTAACATGAGGATATGTTGAGGATGTTTCGAGCGAAACGCTTGTCGCAGTAGAGTGCGTCGCAGTCCAACCCCGCCCGTCCGTTGGGCGTCCCCTGGCGCCCTGGCGTGCCCCCTGGCGCGTCCCTTGCGACGTTCAGGCGTGACGTGCCCTGGCACGTTCCCTAGCACGCCACTCGGCGTAGCACGTTTCCTGGCTCGTCCTCTGTCGAGTTTCCTGGCTCGTCCCCAGGCGTTTCCCCTGTACGTTCCGTGGCGGGCCCCTTGCAACGTCCCTTGGCATGACATCCTCTGGCCGCCCCATGGCCCATGGCACGTGCTTTGGCACGTCCCGTGGCAGGTCCCTGACACGTCCAGGGCACGTCCCCTGATGCGTCCCCTGACACGTTCCCTGGCGCATCACCTATTGCGCCTCTGGCACATCCTGTGGTGCGCTCGTGAGCCTGTGCCCCGTGTCGTGTCGTTAATTTTCGGAGCTGAGTCGGATTTTGAGGTCGACCTGATTGAACTTCCTCCACGTTTCCACTTTAACTAGCTCTGGGGCGGCTACCATGTGCTCAGGCAGCTCGAGCTTAGGATCCAGATCACTTCGATCAGGACTCGAATGCCAAGGAGGACTCGATTCACAACGCTATAGAGCACAACCGCGGCATAGCACATCGCAATTCTGCACGGCACAGCACAGCACAGCCTTGGGCATGGTACACCAAGATCAATCCATTCAGCATTGCTATTGCCCGTCGCTCAATCAGGTGTCTTGAAAGCGTTGCCATGCCACATAATTCCGTATCCCTCTCCGGTATCGTGGGTCGATCATGTTTTATCTTCTCGCTCAAGAGCAAGCTTCATTCGCACGGCGCGAGGGGGAACATACCAAGAAGAAGTGGGAATCTGTGAGCTGTGTTCTTTTGGGGGCGCGTCTTTGCCAGTGCTGGCCCGCCACATTGCTGACCGGATTTGGAACTTGTCGGCGTGTTGCAGTCTGTCCTGCGAGCATGGTGGCCTCCCTGCGCCGAGCGCCTGCCGATCGCCGGAGGGCGATTCACTGCAGAGGCTGACGAAACGCCGCCAAGATGTTACGCCGGCTGACCCTTCGAGGCTCAAGAGACGGGGGTGCAGGACCCTGCAGGATCCCGCAGAGCCAGTGTCGCATTCACCCGGGTTTGGGTGCAGGACCCTGCAGGATTTTGAAGGGTCCTGCAAGGCGTAAGTCGGGCGCGTGTCTCTACAGGAGGAATATTCAAAAATGGTCAAAAATTGGTTAGTGGACGATTTTCTGACTATTTTGGTGTACTTTTTGGGCATGTTTCGACATTTGTTTTTTCCCCCCAGAATCCGCCTGTAGGAGGACATGCTCGACCTAATGCAATGCCTGACTGACCCGGGTCTGGCTGGACCCGAGTCAGTAGATCCCCGAAACCTCATGACCTGCCGTGGGAGGTGGCACAGCACAGTCGGCACAGCGGATCATGGGTGACCCGCGGGAAGGCGCCGCTGGAGAGCAGGGGTCGACCTAAGCGGTGCTTTGGCGATTTCGTTGGCCGCTGTCGCTTCGGCCCTGTGCTGCAGCAAGGGCGGACTGAAGACAGAGGGAGGGAAAGCGAGCACACCACGAAAACGAGAGGCACGGTTTTGGGCGAGCCCTGCTCGAGAGCCCAGAGTCAGCAGCATGATGCCACGCCCTCGCGCACACTTTGAAGTCACGTGTGCGTCTCGGCTCGGTGCCACTGCGCCGCGGGGCGGGGCCAGTAGGCAGGAGCCCGCCCGGGCACGGTGGGGGGCCGCGGGCCGTTGTGTCGATGCCGCCGCGGGTTCTGGGCAGCTCGCGTGGGTGCCTGTTGCCTTAAGTCGGGCCTGTCCCTCTACAGGGGGAGTCTTCAAAAATAGTCAAAAATAGTCTGGAGACTTTTTTAAGTATTAGTTGACCATGTTGGAGTATGTTTTAAACTATTGTTAATTTTTCGTCGAAATTCCCCCTGTAGGGGGACAGGCCCGGCTTAACTGTTGCTGGGGCTCCCGCCCAGAAGTTGCAACACCGGGTGGCTTCAGGACGGTGGTGCACAGATTTGCACTCGTGCTGTCGCAGGCTTCGAAGACCTGCGAAGACAGAGCCGGAGTCGTTGCGACCTGGGCTGACGAGATGGGCGGGCTCTATCAGTGGCAGCGCATGTCTCGTCTTTCTTTCCGGGGGCGGTTCGAACAAATCTGAGCAGGTGGAATGGAAGAAATGGAGGAGGGGCAGGAGGATGAGGAGGGGGAGGAGGTGGAGCAGGTCGAAGAGGTTGAGGCTGAGGAGGGGGGAAGGTCGAACGTGAACATGTACGACCAGATGTCAATCTTTTGGATGAGCTTCGAAGACGTCGCTCCACCAGACGCGCCTCTCTGGCTCTCCTTCCGTCCAGTCCCCGCCTCGTCCCCCCGATTGCCCTCTTCCGCTCGTCCTCAATCTTGCTCTCCTTCTCCTTCCTCCTCCTCCTCCTCCTCCTTGCTGCTCTCCTTCCTCCCTCTTCCTTCTTGCCTCCTTCACCTCCTTCACCTCCTCCTCCTTGCTCCTCTGCACCTTCTGCTGCCTCCCTCTCCTCCTCCTCCCCCTCTCCGCCGAGCGCCCCCATGTCCGCACGCGGCCTCGAGAGCAGGGGCCCCTGGCTCGTCGAGTGGGCGGGGCAAGGGGGGGGGTAACGCACAGAGGGTTCGGCCCAGCGTGTGTGCGATGGTGCCCGACTGCGCGCTTGCGGCAGCGCTTGTCGCCTGACACTGCACGTCAAAAAAATGCGCGTGTGAGATCGTGGGGGGCGGAGGCGGAGGCGGAGAGGCGGAGGCAGAAGCCGTGGCGGCTGCGATGGTGGTGGTGGTGGTGGTGGCGATGATGTTGCTGATGTTGTTGGTGATGATGGTGTCGATGTTGATGGTGGTGACGATTATGATGGTGATGATGCTGTTGATGATGACGATGGTCATGATGACGGTGATGATGATGTTAATGGTGTTGATGATGATACGGATGATTATGATGATGGTGCTGATTATGTTGGTGATGCTGATGATGGGAATGCTGCTGATGATGATGATGATGATGATTACTGTGATTGTAATGATGGTGGTTATGTTGACGATGATGGTGATGATGGTGATGATGATTTTAACGATGATGCTTGGTATGATCGTGGTGGTCATGATGGTGAACGCTGTTGCTGATGCAGACGGAGGTGATTATGATGGTGAAGGTGAGTGTCAGGGTGGTGGTGGTCGCGACGACGAGGAGGAGAAGGAGGAAGAGGAAGAGCTTAAGAGGACCAGGAACGAGGGAGCGCATGAGGAACGTTGATCCTGATGACGGTGATGCTGGTTATGATGGTGATGGTGGTGATGATCATAAGGATGAGGATGAAGATGAGGAGGGCGATGATGCTGGTGGTGAGAATGACGATGGTGACGATGATGGTGGTGGTGGTGATGATGCTGATGATGATGGTAATACACTGCTGATGGAGATGGTAGTGGTGCTGGTGACGACGTCGACGACCACGAGGATGATGATGGTGCGGATGGTTATGATGATGGTGCTGATGTTGATACTGTTGTTGTTGATGATGATGATGATGGTGGTGGTGGTGGTAACAATGACTACGATGCGGATGCAGTCTTTAGTGTTGCCCCCCCCCCCCGGGAGCTCTCGGCTGTGAATTATCTGGCCCCCCTCCTCCCTCCCTCCTCGTCCTCCTTCTCCTCCTCTTGCTCCTCTTCTTGCTAGGGTCAGGAAGCTTCCTTGCAAGCACTGGCGAGGCATAACTTGATGACACCCCCGTTGCCTAAGCTGAGAGGAGGAGGGGGGGGAGGAGAGGGAGGAGGAGGAGGTAAGGAGGAGAAGGAGGAGGAGGGAGGGAGGAGGGGGCGGAGGAGGCGGATGAGGAGGAGAATAACGAGGTGGAGGAGGAGGAGGAGGTCACGAGGGAGTAGGAGGAGGAGGAGAAGCAAGAATAGGAGGATAAGGAGGAGAAGAAGGATGAGGAGGAGGAATCAATGTCCCACTAATACACGCCGTGCTGAATAATGGTGGACGGTTAGTTATCCCATCGGACAACGCCCCCTGGGCGACCCTCCACGCGGAAAGGGTTTCGAGCTTGTTCGCAGGAAGGCTTGCAAAGATAATCGATGTGTCGGAGGAGGAGGAGGGGAAGGAGGAAGAGGAGGAGAAGGAGAAGGTCGAGGAGTAGGAGGAGGATGAGGAGGAGGATGACGATGAGGAGGAGGAGGAGGAGGAGGAGGAAGAGGAGGAGGAAGAGGAGCAACTAAGGAGGAGTAGGAGGAAAAGGAGGAGGAAGGAGGAGGAGGAGTTGGGGAGGGGGATAAGGAGGAGGAGGGGGGAGGAGGATGAGGAGGAGGAGGAGGAATTAGTTTCCCACTACTGCGCGCCGTGCTGAATAATGGTGGAGGGTTATTTCTCCCACCGGACAATGCTTCCTGGGCCTCTTGGGGCAATCTCCGCGCGAAAAGGGATTTCGAGCTTGTCTGTTGGAAGGTTTGCAATAGTAGGGATCGAAGTGTCGAAGTTGGAGGAGGAGGAGGAGGAGAAGGAGGAGAAGGAGGAGAATGAGGAGGGCGAGGAACAGAGCTCCTTGGCATGTATTTCGTGAGAGCGCTGTGAGCCCTTGAGCTTGCAGACTGAGAGTTTCAGAGCAATGAGCCTTTGAACAAGTCTCGAGCCATGAGTTCCAGAACAATTGGTTCCATGGCAATGGGCTTCAGAGCAATGGGCTCCAGAGCAATGAGCTTCACAGCGATGAATTCCAGAGCAATGGGTTTCCGAGCAGTGGGAGTTTCAGAGCAATGAACCTTTGAGAGCTTCAGAGCAATGAGCCTTTGAGGAAGTTCTCGAGCGATGAGTTGCAGAGCCATGAGTTTCAGATCGATGAGTTCCAGAGCAGTGAGCTTCATCGCAATGAGTTTCAGAGCAATGGGTTTCAGAACAATGATTTTCAGAGTAGTGAGTCTCATAGCATTGAGAGCTTCAGAGCAACGAGTTTCAGAGCATTCAGCCTTTCAGGGTTTCAGAGCATCCTTTTTCTCCTCCTCATCCTCCTCCTTCACCCCCTCCTCCTCTTCCTCCTCGTCGACGTCGTTGTCGATGTTGTCGTTGGCGGTGGCAACGGGAAACAATAATTCGTTTCCGTCGTTGTCGGGGCCCCAGTCTGTTGCGGGTTGTTTGTAACGACTCTTCTGGGTTACGTCGATTGAACCACGCAGGACAATTTTGAGTTGAAAGAGTGCTGGCCTTTCGGGGGCGTCCTTGGGAGTTCCCCTGGTCACTTCGGGTCGCCTTTGGGCGGTCTTGAGGCTTCTTGAGGGCATACTGGAAGCCCTTTCGATCCATCTCGGATGTGCTCTTGAGATCTTTGGACCTTTGGGGGCCCTTTTGGAGCCATCCTGGAAGATATCGCTCAAACAACGGAGCGGCGCGGAGTAGGGTTTGCCCCTCTTGGGCTCGAAGAATCATCTCCCGGAGTCCTCCCGGGGCAATCCTAGAGCGCTCTTGGTGCTGTCTTGGAGCACCTATGGGAAAGCCTGTGGGGCTCTCGTGAGACCCTGTTGGGGCCCTCTTGGAAGCCTTTGGGGGCCTCTTGCGGCGTCTTGCGAGGATGGTACACCGCCAGAGGGGTATCTCAGTGCCCGCCGCCCTCCCAATGCTGCCGCTGGGCGAGTAACATAAACATGAACTTTCGGAGCTCCGTGCTTTTTCCTTGGATCCGCGCTGGAGCCCCCCTGGCGGCGCCTCGGGCGCCGCCCTTGGCGCTCTCTACGAGTCAGGGAAGGGGTCCAGCGCGGATCCAAGAAATCCGTGCGGACCACCACAAGTTTATGCTTAATTATGCCGTGCAGTGGGGGCCCATGCCAAGAAGCACCCTGCTTGCCACCAGGGTTTCTTGGGTTTCTTGGGTTTCGATGGTCTTACGGTGGAAAGCGTAACGTTCCCACACCTGAAATCCATGGACGTCCTGGGCTCTCAGCGTTGGGTTTCTTGTAGAAGCTTTCTTGCGGACTGGCCTCCACTGTATGCCGCCATGCCGTCTGGATACACTCGTATTCAGCGCCGGATAGGTCTCCCGCCGGATGGGTATTTCAGTGTTCGCTCTCGCCTCCCATTGCTTCCGCTGGATGGGTATGTCGCCGTGCTGGTTGGGTAACCCTATTCATCCAGCGCCAGATGGGTATCCCGCCGGTTGGGTATCTCAGTGACCGCCCCCTTTTCCCAATGCTTCCGCCGGAAGGGTATGCCGCCGTGCCGACTGAGTACCCGTACCCATCCAGCGTTGGATGGGTATCTTGCCAGATGGGTAGCTCAGTGCCCGCCCCCCCCATGTTGTTGCCCGATGGGTATGCCGCCGTGCGGGTTGGTTACCCGTAGTTGCCCATCCAGCGCCGGATGGTTACACCGTTGGACGGGTATCTCAGTGTCCGCCTCCCCCATGCTGCCATGCTGCCGACGGATGGGTAAGCCCCCCCCGTGCTGGTCACATAGAGGCCCTCCAAACGGCCCCCAAGGGGCCCCAAGAAGCTGCAAGACTCGCTCCACGAGGCGCTCGAGAGGCATGCCAAGAGACCCAGGCATCCAATAGTCATCTGGTCCAAAACGCGGCACGGAGGCTCAAGCTCAAGAGTCATTTCGACTCACTCAGGCCGCAGTGTCACAGACGCTACTTCTGCTCACCAGCATTCGTTCATCCAGCCCGCGCGCGTGCTCGATATGACCCCCCTCCACGCAGCTGTTGTTCTCGCGCTCCTCCTCGGCATCGTACAGGGTACCTGTGTGTACACCGACGGTTGGTCGTCAACCTCACAGGGTTGGGATTGTAATACGCATTGCGGTCAGCCGCATAATTATGTACTCGTGGGGTTCCTACTATGAAGACCCTGGCTTCAATTCCAGTGCCATGTGCTGTGTATGCGGCGGCGGGGCGCCTGTACCTACGCCGCGTCCGCCACCGCCGCCACCGCTACCTGATTTCAGTGACATTGGATGAATGTTGGCCTCTTGGAGGCGTCCTTAGGGCACTCCAGGGTCCAGGTGGAAGCGTCTTGGGACGGTCTTGGGGTTGCTTGGAATGTATTGGGAATCGTTTTGTGCAATATTTGCTTGTTTTGTTTCATCTTGGAGGCCGTCTTGGGCTATGTAGGCCTCTCTTGGAACCATCTTGGATGGTCTGACCGCTTGCCCCCTGGCCCTCCCCCCGGTCTAGACCCAGTGTAACCCCTCCCCGAAGGGGAGACGGGGTTGGAAAAAACCGCCCGAAACCACCTGCGACCAGAAGGCTGGTGGGATACAACATTGGTTCCACCGTCGGGGGGACACCTGCACCAGGTCCGCTGGGGAGTTTCTACTCCCGCGCGCCGCCGTGGGGTGCACACTCCCCCAGCCGTTCCGAGGCACGCGCCCAGTCGGAAGAGTTGAGGCTTTCTGTGCTGTTGTTCTCGGGTTGGTCTGGAGCCTGGATGCGCACGAGAGGGAGAGATGCCCCTCCCTCCCGCGCGCGGCCGCTCACGCCAAGCTGGGCGGCCACCTCATTGGCAGACGCATGCCTCAATGGTTTGGGCTGGGTTGGACGGCCAACCACTACCGTTTCTTCTTTCAGGATGCGTGCTGGTCCTACTCCTACGTCCTCCTCCTCCTCCTCTTCCTCCTCCTATTCCTCCTCTTCGTTGTCCTCCTCCTCCTCCTCCTCCTCCTCCTCCTCCTCCCCTTCCCCGTCCTCCCCCAACTCCCACCTCCTGCTCCTCACCCCCCTCGCTCCTCCCCTTTCCTATCATCTCCGAGTACCCTGCGCCAGTCAGGTGAAGGAGTACTTCGCGGTCGTCGACGTCTGCCGCGTGCACGACGGCTGGGAGGACGGCGGCCGCCAGCGCCTGGCGCTTGGGGGCCCTCCCCAGCCCTCCTTCCCTCCCTCTCTTTTCCTGTGGTCGGGCTTGCTCTTGCTTGGGCGACCGCGCGTTTGTGTGGCCCGTCGGGTGCTGACGTGGCCTCATGGGTGGTGTTGTTTGTGTGGCCTGCGCGCGGTCGGATGGGTGTTCCTGTGGGCCGCGCTGGTCTCTCAGTTCAGAGCTCTGCGTGCGCGACGCAAGAAAACGGTGTCGTCTGCGCCGACAATGGCGCGGAAGTTGCCCGCGGAAGGTCGCGCGCAAGCGCCCTCGCTTCCAGTGCAGCGTGCCGTGTTGGCGGCCCGCGCAAGCCGCCGCGCAAGGTCGCCGTGCCACCTCGCGCACGGCCCGCTTCGTTCCGTCGCTCGCGGGGCTCGCGGGGCTCGCGGGGCTCGCGCGTGCTCTTCGGAGCCGCGCGCGCAGGCCGACGGGGGCGTCCAAGGTACCCCTTGCGCTTCGCGCTTCGGCTCCGATTCCTCTTCTCCCCTGGGAGGCGGCGCGAGGGCGCGAGGTTATTCGCGCTTCGCGCTGCGCTGTGCGCGAGGTCGGGAGCCCTTGTATAGGGCTCAGTCGGGCGTGCCCCTCTTCAAGGAGGAATGTTCAAGCATAGGCTTGGGACGATGTCTTCCGCATTTTGAGCATTTTCGTTTTATGTTTTGGCCACTCTTAATCATATATAGTTATATATACACATATATCGGCTCACCTGGTCTGGGGGCCCGGGGCCGGGACCACGACCGCAAATGTGGGGACCGGGGGCTCTGGAGGCTCGTCGGGGCTTGCCGGAGGCCTCCCCGGTCAGACAAGACGGCCCCAGGAACGCCCAAGACGGCCCAAGAAACTTCCAAGAGGCCTCCAAGAGGGCTCCGAGATGCTGAAGATGGCCTCCAGACGTCCAAGGACGCCCCCAAGAGGCCCCAAGAAGCCTCCAACATGCGTCCCAAGAGGGCCCCTAGACGCAA